GGCTTGCTGGCTACAATGATATCATCGTCAAGAGCTTGGAAATGTTTCTGAAATGATATTATGTTTGGAACAAAAATCGGGTGGCACCAAAACCCTTGGAATTGGCACAATGTTGGACCTTGTTTTTTGGCGCTGGTATGCTGGCCTTCTCCTTCAGCAACGCAAGAGGGAGGATGTGTTTCACTGGAGTTGTGCCCTTCCATAATTTCAAGATGTTTAAACAAGGTTCTTTTTTTGTTGTTGCATCTAATCAACACTTAAGAGGTTTTTATAGCCATCAGCCAAGGAAAAGAAGAGGAATTACAGCATTGATTTTGATACGCGGTTGTTCAATTATTCACACGTCATATATGTTATTTCAGATATATTGCTGGAAGTAGGATACTAGCCACATCCGTAGGTTGTTATATTTTATATTAAAATAATAAAATTTGATTTTAAATGATAAGATAGTGATTAAATACAATACAATTTGAGAACTAGTTTATAATAAAACATGGTATTAGGTATTAAACCCATCGCATGGTGTTGGCCATTTTATTAATATCCATTATTTTTTTTAAGCCATGCTTTTCACTTATATAAAATAAAAGTGGTCAGTCAGCTCTTGAGGTTCCATGAGACACTCGTGCAGTCTGGCTTGATTTTCTTGACATTAAATAAAAATAAATAAATTATTTTTTATCTCATAAAACCTAATCTTCCTAACACACAAGATTGGGTTTAAAACTCTTAAAGTTAAAACACTCTTAAATTTTAATTATTTCATCGTTATGTTTTGAAGTTTGATACTTGGCGACTTCGGCATTTAGCAATCTGTCTCATTATAAAAAGGTGTCCCAACTCAATAATGCTGCCTTACCCCAGAACATTATTTCTTTCTCAACAACATTGATAATACAGTGCCCAGGCCCAAAGCCAATGCTCTGGTAATATTCACTTTTTTCAATAAAAATGCAATAAAAGAAGAGGGAGTTCAAGACACTTATACTCCCTCCTTCCACTGTTGTTAGTTCAAGTTTGACTTGATATGGAAATTAAATTTTTAATTTTTTTAATATCAAAAAGTTAAAAAAAAATTAATATGAAATGTAAAAAATAGGAGAATTAGGAGTTTAAAAACACAAAGAAAAGAATACATAAATTTTAAGAAAGGAAACTATGGGTGAAAAAGTGAAATGGATGAGAAGTTACTAAAATATTACTTTTATCTCGTCAAAGATACGATATGTAATTAAAAACTATCAAGGGAATATTTACAAATTTACCTTTAAACTTTAATTTTAATTGTTATGTCATAATATGGTCTAATAATTTCACAAATGGAGGGAGTCATTAGTTATCAAAGCTTGCTATAACAATACAAAATTAATGATCTTACTTGGCCGAAATTAAAATTTCATTGTATTCTAGAGTATCGACAGAAATTTTTATCGATATTTAGTTGAAAATATTGTCCTCAATTAAAGTAATTTTCTTGGTAACAAAATATTTTTTTGAAATATTCAATTGATAAAGCATTCAATCCATCGAAAGCTTAACTGGACGGTATTCGATGATTTTCATCAATAAAGATATGTTTCTTTGTCGTGTAAATTTACTATAATAAATGACTAAGTAACGATTTGAAAATTGATAATTTTGGCAGCTAACAAAAGAGAAAGCTCAAATATCTGCTTGAAGTCATAAGCAATTTTTGATATCATCAGTGCTCGTTTATCTCTTAAAAAAAACGAATTTTATTGAGAGAAAATTATGAGGAATGGCCATTTTGATAACTTGATTTCACAAATAGCATCCAGAATAAAATTAATTATTTTTAGTCATATTTAGTTATGATTTGACGAAAATACTCTTAAACTTCTTTTAAATAAATTAAACCATTTATCATAATTTCTCCATATCCTTCTGTGCATCTAATTTCTCTTTCTCACTATTTAGTTCTCTCTAATTTTATTGATTTTTCTCTTCAACATCCATTTATTATGTTCTCGATTTCTCTCTCTCGGGCTTTCAGAATGCCAAACGATGGTTTTGATGTACTTAGGGTGGGTGGCCATTGGGAAAATTTGATTTTAAGTATTTTGGATGAAACTAAAATGATAGAAATGATCATAAATGTTTGAAATAGCTTTTAATTAGATTAATTCAGGGCATAGACACTAATAAACTCAAGAATTTCACATTTATAAACTTAGGGTTTCAAAGAAAATTGTTATCTATTTTGAGCTGTAATAGGTATTTTATATAAGAAAAATTGTGTTTTTATTCATGAAAACATATTAGAAATACTCTAATCGGTGCCAAATCGTCAAAAAACCAAAAAGAAATGAAGAGAGTTGAGAGGATTTGAAGTTTTGATTTGCAAGTAAGAACAACATTTTAAAAATTAAAGTATAACAAAAATTTTTTGAACAGAGCATGTAACAACAATATTTTTTTTAACATAGCTTGTAACATGTTTTTGTACATGACGTGTAACAATAATTTTTTTTTCAACTGGCATATAATAATCTTTTTTAACCATAGCGCATAACATGTTTTTGTACTTGACGTGTAATAATATTTTTTAACATAGTGTGTAACATCATGTGCATGGCTTGTAATATTATGTGCACTTGAATATGAGGAGGTTTCATTAAAAGTAATTTTGTTTAACTTAAACTAAAAATAATTAAAATTATAAAAAAGACTATTTTTGAAAACATCTTATCTTTGAAGGCTATTTTTTAAAATTTCTATTTTATTAATCATCAAAAAACTAATATGTCGTAACAAGTCTGGAACTATGACAGTAAAATGTTTTTCTTGGCATAAGAATTTTAGTTTCGATGTGGGAAAGTACTGTACAATTACAAAAGTAAAAGCACTGCTCAAAACATTTGAATTTGGACCATAACTTAGGTCCGTAAGAAGAACTGTCAATCACAATTCAAACTACCACCTAGTATAAAACATTCCCTGCCTTATCAACACCAATGCAACAAAGTCTCTGATAAACATTAGCTTCTCTAAAAGTATGCATAAAAAAAAACCAATTCATAACTTATTCTCCAAAGTATAGGTAAAATTCCATCATGTATTATTATTATAAGAACTACTTATTTTATTATGAGACCATTTGTGTTTTAGAATTTATACATTCTTACTTGGGTGTAAAGTAATAATATACTAAAATAATTATCACATAAAAAAAGAAAATATAAACAGCAAAAATTAATTAATTTAAATAATAATGCAAAAAATTAGCCCTGCACATCATAAAATAATTTTTTATAAGTTTGCCCTGGAACAAACATATTAATATCCTTAATGAATCATTCTCTTCCCCTCTCAACAGTCTCACAAACGAATGTCAAATCAAAATATTAAGCAGATTAATTTTTTTTCTAAAATAAAAAATCTTTAAAACATAAAAATAAGATTAATTATTAAAGAACTGAAGAATCAATTTTTGTCTATGGTTATTTTATTTATGAAGAATCTACATGTGCAAAAAGTGAATAATAAGTACAAACTAATAGAAATCCAAGAGTAGCATTTGTAACTCTAATAAATAATGACGGAAAAAGGGATCTTCTTGAGAAGGAATTTCTTGTTTCAATGGGCAGTGGGTTTCATCCGAGGGGCAACCAGTGGCTTGCTTTTGTCTGTATTTGCAGTCTTTCTGGATTTCTGTGAGTTTTAAGGAGCTGTTTCGCTACCTAAGTGGTGGACTTTTGTGAAAAATCAATTTTAATTGGATGTATCGAAACTAAATCGCAGTATTTATCTAATTTAACATTTAATCTTTCAAAAAATATTGCAATTATAGATTAGAACAATTACTCTTGTAAACCTGATAATGAGAGAATATTGAATCAATTGTAAACACATATTAATATGACAGAATTTGAAACTAATACTTTATGGTATCTTAAAGACAAATATGCATTAAAAAGTTTTTTAAATTGCCTCAAAGCCATTTTTTTAATATTTTTTCTTTTTCCTTTTTGATTCTTTAATCTTTGTACAATGATGAAACAGAACTGCTTTGTGTAGACCAAAATCAAGTATATCACAAAAGAATCAATGAGTTTCAAGCTAACTAATTGCATTACAAAACCCAAGCAAGATGGAAACACAAGTTACAAACCAAACCAAGCACAGATAAGAGATTACTGATTACAATCTAGTTATTCCATAGACTAATAGTGCTTCGGGCAAGTGGACACAACCTTCATGCCCATCCTTATTTTACATGGTTTCCTTAACCAAGTTTTATCCTGACAAAGACATTCTAAAGGTCAAGCCAGAACCACTCAGTTTTTCATCGAAGATCTTACAGAATCGTTCCACTGCAGAATTGCTGAGATAATTAACATAGTCACCCACCTCACCTTTCCGAAAGAAAGGTTTAGTCTGACGTGGTGAGGCTGCCAGGGTTCCTGTCTTGTTCACTTCCAAATCCTTTAGGTTGCTCAAGCTGCAAAACTTTGCTATTTCCTCAATGACTCCGGCTGTCTCTTCCTCCACGGAAAATGGAAATCCCATGAATTCTGCCATCTTTCTTATATGAGGTTTTGCGTTTTCCTTCATGTCCTCGTACTTGAGGAACAAAACTTTGTTTGGCTTCTCCGAGGATTCTTTCCAGTACCTAAGAACATGATCCCAAAAGGGTCCATACGCTTCTTCACCTCTGCAAAATTGCTCGAAACATTCCTCCAAAGTCCAATCAGCACGCTCTGGTTTACTTGTAATGAAATGCCACAACGAAACAATAACATCCAGAGGATTGCGAGCTATATAAACAATTCGGGAATTCGATTGTTTGATTGATTCAGCTAATGCTTGATAAGGAAGGTGAGTGGAGAACAGCCTTGGTGATGAAACGTCAGCAAAATCGGGGATTTGACCATCTTTATACAAAGTCATTTCAAAGTAGGGAACAAGGTCGTGAGGGTTTGATGAATTCAAGGGGCTGTCGGAGAGAGTGAAACGGTTGCGGTTCATGATGCTGAAGGCCAAGGATTTCAACCATGTCGTTCCAGTTTTTGGCTTGCTGGCTAAAACAATGTCATCGTCAAGAGCTTGGAAGTGTTTTTGGAAGGATATTACATTTGGAACAAGCTGAGATAGACACCAATGGCCTTGGAAATGGGTTAAAGCTGGGGCATGTTTTTTGGAGTGTTGGCTCAGTCACAGGGCTGTTTTCTTCAGCCATAGGTCAAAGTTTGGGGTTTGTTTGGGATTGGGATTGGGATTTGGGAGTACTACTCAATTTCCATCAGCCACAGCAAAATTATGCTTTATAGCAAAAAAATAATTTGTAGGTGTAAAAGGGGTTCTTGTGATAGGGAGAGTAAACATTGCAAATAAGTAAAAGGGTATGCCAGAGGCAGCAAAAAAGAAGATTGGAACAGTTCTTGAAGTATTAAGTGTCGCGATAAATGAAAAAAGATTAAAAAAGAATTAAAGAGAGAAGCTCTGGAAGATCATTTGTTAGCCTGAGAGGAAGAGTCCCCGCTAAATGAATTCTAAGGCTCTATATATAGTGCTAAAAGTGGCAATTACTTAAGAATAAGCATTAATGTGCCTAATAAATTACATTATAATGAAGAGCATTAATGTAAGTAATCGTTACTATAATTGGATGTATTAAGACTTGTTCTCTAGTAAAAGGTAATAGAGAAGAGGTATACGTAAACAAGAATAAAAAAAGAAACTATATGTGAACAGGTACAAGAGAAGAAAGTGTATGTGAACAGGTATACGAAAACAAGGTAAGAGGGTGAAGCACTTGTGCTTCAGGAAAATTTTAAGAGGAAAACCTCTTAATTACCTCCATATTTGAGCCACCAAGGCAAACTCTCCGGAACATCTCAAGATAAAAGTAACCAATGAACCCTACCACTTATTCCGAATTGCTTCCACTACTATCCTGTGAAGTGATTATTCTAATAATATTAGTTGTTCCTCATGGAGTAGTGCTTTACTTATTTTAATTGTTTTGCATTGAAGTAGCACTTCACTTGCTCTAGTTGTTTTGTATGAAATAGCACTTCACTTGTTTTAGTTGTTCTCTATACAATATTATGTTGTAAAAATAATTCTTTAGATAAGAGGTATTAACCAAAATCAAGTATCTACATTTTGCCCTCTGCATAAGAATTCTTATCTAAGAATACATCTTATACATTACTTTAGGGAAAGATTTCGTTTTGTACTATAACATATTGTACTATAACACCTCAGGTAATAAAACCTTGGATAGTAACACCGTAAGTAGTAATGCTTTAGGTAATAACATATTACTATCTAGTATAATATTTGATTGATTATATAACAATATATTTCATAGAATAAGATTTTCAAGATACAAATTGTAAAAGGAAAGTTAATCTTTTTCATAAAAACCTTGATTCTATGTGACCTATAAATATAGAACTTACTATGAATAATTTTCTTCATTCAAATTCCAAGCAAAAAAAATTCAAAGTAAGGTTCGTTCTTTTGTGAATTTTCCTTTTTAAGCAAGCAAGTTATTCGTCTTCATCATGTAATTTCTTGTTTACTCTCTCTCCCTTTTTTTATTTGCATTTTCTTGTTTTTTAAAAGAATTGAATTTCTTTTGCTTGTTGCTCCCTGCATGAAATATTTTTTTATATGATAAAAGAAAATTTTTCATGCATGAGATTAGACTTTTTAATTAAAAGAGAAATATATATATATGTGTTTAAGCAGATAAATAAATTGTTTGATTTTAGAAAAAGAATTTAAAACAAGCTTTACTTATGTTTATAAGAAAACTACCTTGGTAAGCAAAAGCAAAAAAAAATTCTTCTTAAAACAAGGATTTGTTTTCAGTCATGATTTATAATTTGTAGATAAAAGTAAAATTACAAAAGCAAAAGTGAAAAAGATCAGCAAACATAGCCAAAATTGTTATTTCATTGACTTTTTGTGTTAAAGATTGTTTTGAAGCTCCTATTTGTTTTTGAAATATAACTATTATTTTATTTTGAATTTCTTGCATGTGTGGCCTCTAATGGAAACATTTAACAAGCCCCATCCTTTAAAATCAACAAATTGGGAAGTGGAAAGGTTAAAACTTTTTGTGTACATGGCATCTAGAAACATTGAAAACATGGAGTGTTGGAAAATTTATGAACAAGCATGCACCAACCATTGATTTTAGGCATGTCATATAACAACTTAGTTATTATGCATGGTGTGTAGCAACTAAACTTTATTAGGTTGGCATGTAACAACCAAGGATTTATAGGCATATCATGTAATAACTTAGTATTGGCATGATGTGTAACTAACAATATATAATCGCATGGCATGTAACTGACAATATATATAGGCATGGCATTTAGCAACAAGTGTGTATTATCCATGGCGTGTAATAAAAATGTCTATTTATGCATGGCGTGTAGGAACTCTATTTGTTGGTGAAGCATGCAGCAACATTTGTAATTGTCGATGTGGCCTGTAAGAACTCAATTTGTAGCTATGGTGTACAAAAACATTGCATATGTATACATGTCGTGTAATACAATATAAATATAGTCAATAATTAAGTAGCAAAAAATCACATCATTGGTCATTACTTTTGAAGATTCAAAACACAAAATCAAACAAAACAATTCATTCATTTCCTAATTAATAAATGCTCAAATGCCATAGGTGATGCTTAAATTCTTGATATGCTACATTAATAAATAATAAATGATTGATTTTGCGATCAAAGAAAGAAACTAACACATAATCGGGATAAGAAAGTTGTGTTCATTAAAAAGTATCAAATATATTAAAATAAATAATTAAACATCTATATTAATTCATGGTATAAATTCGATAATGAATTCCACTTGGCATATCTTTGATTCCTTTGGCACCATTAGTAGTTTCCTTATAATCTCGATATGTTCTCCAACATTCCGGACAATTTGTATTCTAAGCTTCCCCAAAATTCTTGCATGCTTAAGGAAGTACTCAACCATTTCCATATGACCATCAAATGAATGGATTTTAATCACCTAAAGGGTTGAGAAGAGACAAAAAGGTACTTTTTCAGGTTGATGCTAGAATAAATCTCCAATAAACCCTTGAACCCAAAAAGGAAAAAACATACCAGAGCTTGCAACTTTACAAATGCACAGAGTAATTGTTCGATATAATTTAATTCGTATAGTATGAATGATAAAAGTCTCCAAGTTAATTGAACTTTCAAGCAACTCTGTTAGTTTAGTTCTTTGCCTCAAACTTTGCCTTCTAATCAATAAATGGACCAGATTGCAAAACACAGGCAAAGGCTTCTTGCACAAACTTAGACACTAAAATTACAAAATAATAATAAAAAGGAAATGTTAGCTTAAAAATTGCAATAAAACTATAAATTAAAGATATTACACTACTCAATAAGATAAATCTATCAAGCAACAATTTACAAGTATCCTTCTGGGGTCTCTTTTGATACTATCAATGATGGGATATTTGTACCAACTATATTTAAAAAATGTAGCATCAACAAGAAAGAGTAAGTGAACTTACTCAAAGTAAATAATCATTACAAGAAAGTGATCAAACATTACTAATTTCATCTTTATCTTTATCAATGGGTACCACAACCAACACCTTCACCACCATCACCTTCGCCATTATCACAATTCAATGATAGACCAATAATGTTGGAAACAATCATGGGGAACCTAGGAACAATCACGAGCAAATCCAATTCAACCCCATTCCCACATTTATACCAATTTACTTCTCCAACTTATGAAGAGTCACTTTTTGGTACTAGTCCACTTGGACCATTAAAGCTTCCTTACCCAAAATAGTACTATGTCAATGCTTATTGTGACTACCACTATTGGATTCAAGGACATTCAATAGAAAATTTCATAGCACTAAAATGTAAGGTCTAAGGTTTAGTCAAGGTTAGATTGTTAAACTTTCAAAGAAAGCTAAGCCAAACATCAACAAAAATCCTTTGCCCAATCACACAAGAGCATTTGTATATGCTTTGGATGATGAGATGGTTTGTGCAAATGATCCATGAAGAAAAGAGTAAAGATGAGATGGCAACACTTTACAGCTAAGTAATTGAGAGGCGATAAAGTTACCAAGCATCTATAGACCTTTTAGGTAGGGGGACAATGAATCAAAATCCTTAATGCTTATGCCCAAGAGCATTCTGAAGTTTTAAGTAGGATGGATTTCTTTGTTTCATGAAATGACCCATGTGGTCCCCATGCTTCTGCCTAAGAGCACTAAAAAGGTGTGAATGTATGAAGGGCATTTTTCATTCATTTTATTGTCTCTAATAAAATGATCCATGTGGTGCTTTTTCATATCTCCTTTTTCATTTCACTTTCATGCATTAATTTCATGATACATCCTCACAGTTCTTCAATTTACCCATTTTTGGGCATTTGAATAATAAATGCGGAGACAATGATAATAATCTAGGATTTGATTTTGAAAGAAAAACAAACATTGATGAACTTAAGAATGAAGAAAATGTAGATGATTACATCTTGTCTCTTGACTTGCTAAGAATAATAGAATAAAAAGAATGACAAATCACACCTCATTAAGAAACCACTGAAGCAACTGATTGGCATGTCACTATCACCAACAAAAGACATGAATTAATTTCTTCAAAGATATGTGGATGTGTTAGCATGATAATGCCTAGATATGCAAAGACTTAGCAAAGATGGCATGGTATGCAAGTTGTTGTTCAAGAAGAAATTGAGGTGAATCAATCTTGAAACGTTAAGGAAAAAACTAACGATAACATAATGCACTTTGGATACATAAATTGGAAGAAAATCTTCAAAGATTGCTCTATAATGAAAGTAACCATACTTGAAATGACAAATGGCCATCTTTCATATTCCATTCATAAATATGAAATTATCTATTTGTTATCACCTTTGGGCTTAACAAATTCTTTCTAAAATTGAACCTTAACCAATTATCACCCTCCACACTAGGAGGCAAATGCAAAGAAGGATCAAGACCTTACTTCAAGGTAAAAAAATGCCTTGTATTGATTGGGTCTTAACATCATATAAAGAAAAAATAAAAAATGATGGAATAAAAAAAGTAAAAGAGACTCAAGAGGCATACAAAGTCTAGGGTTTTGAGGAGAATCCTTCACATGACAAGAAATTATCCTTGGTTTGATTACCCTTAAACACATATTTTGACCTTATTTACCTTTTCTTTCGAAACCCCTAGCCTTAGCCTACGTCACATACCTAGAAAAATCCATTTGGATTAGGTATGGATACTTAAACTGAAGAGCCTTCTTTTTTAGATTCATTTATCCATCTTGGGAGTATTTTGAATTCTTCAAGTGCATAATGGAACAATTAGTAAAAATAAAAAAAAGAGAAAGAAAAAAGGAAGTTCAAGTTGAAAGCCCAAAATGGATGGCTTGGACATAAGAAAAAACCACCTACCTAAAAATCAAAAAGACGGTCTAAGAATGAATCTAAGAGACAAATGCAATGAGGGGCAAGCATCGAAGTTTGCAAAAGTAGTTGGCAAGATAGAGGCAAAGTTTGATCAAATGTGCTCAAAATGTCAACGACATCAATGAATGAGTTTCTTTCCAGAAATAATCTTAAATCAATTAGAAATTGTTTGAATGCTCATTATTCATATACAAATTTGCTATCGCAGTCCACATTTCTTTCTTAATTGTAATTTTCCTTAGAACTTCAATAAGATACATTGTTTCCCAATTACCCCATTTTTCCACCAATTTTCTATTTTACTATGAATTAAGGAAATTTGAAAGTGCATTGCATTTGTCATTAAATTGAAATGATTATGAATAGAGGATTAACGTCATGTATTGAAATAATTGAAAAAGTAATCAAGCAGTGATGAATGAACAAAGAACAAAATGGTCTTAATCTCTTAGTGATGAATAAACGAAAGCATTCAAAAGAGAAAGGAAGTTCAACGAAATGCCAAAATTTCAAAAATGAACCATGTTTTGATTGATGAAGATAAGAAAAGGAATCATGGATGGAATTTGAGGACTTTTTGAATGACCATAAATATGGATACATGACATCATCATAGTAGTTAAGCATTTGTATACCATGATAGCAATTTGCATCATATGCATTCATAGATGATATTTGTTTAAAATTTTTTAAGTTACATAACCTCATTTCACATGAGGAGTTTATTAATTTTTAAGTTACATAGTCTCATTTAAGATGAAGAGCCTATTCATTTTAAGTTACGTAACCTCATTCCAGATGAGGAGCTTATTCATTTTAAAGTTACATAGCTTCATTCCAAATAAGGAACTTATTTCTTTTTAAAGCTACTAACCCCATTCTATATGAAGAGCTTATTCATTTTAAAGTTATGCAGCCTTATTTAAGATAAGTAACCTTTTTCTTTTTAAAGTGATGTAATCTTATTATAGATGAGGAGCTTATTCCTAGTCTCAGTCCAAATGAGAAGCTTATTCCTATTTAGAGTTATGTAACCTCATTCTAGATGAGCAACTTATTACTTACATAGCCTTATTCTAGATGAAGAGTGTATTCCTTCTTTAAAGTTACGTAGCCTTATTCTAAATGAAGAGCTTTATCTTTGGAAAATTATCTTTTTAGCCAAATTGTCCCTACATCTTTGCATTGTGCCTAATTCTCAAGAAATGGGTACATAAAGGCAGCTGTAAACACCCCATTTTGTCTGAGGCATTGAATTTTGAAAATTAAAAACAAACAAAAAAGAGAAGGGAGATAAATATGAAAAGATAAGGATATGTTTGGACCAATCATAATCAATTTAAAAATTTGAAGAAATATTATGTTAGATTAAATTAAAACTCAAGAAACTAATTTGAAAAGGAATAGTACACATTAGCTATAAATATAGCCAAGCATCAGGGCCAAAAGGCACACATAGATAGAGAGAAAAATTAGGTACATAGAGAGAAAAAATTAGGTAGAGAAAACAAAAAATATAGGGAGAGAAAAGAATTAGGGATGGAACATTAAGAAGAAACAATTGAGAAAAGCGAAAATAGTTCTTGAGTTCTTAGGTTCTTGGGTTTCAATTTTTTTTAGATCTAGGAGAATCAATTTAGTTTCTAAAGAAACTATTTTGATTAAAGGGATCAAAAGGGAGAAACAAAAAAGAAAAGCAGAAAAAGTATCCTAGTTTCTTGAATAGGGTTTAAAGAGTGCTACTCATTCTTAATAGCACATGCTTGATATCTAGATTTGATGCTTGGCATCTGGATTTGCAACCAAACAAAATATCGAATAACCAAATCGTTTACATTGCTCACAATCCTTTGGATGTCATTGTCTCTTTTTGGCACTTTGTTAGGAGTATTACTGAGCATGGAGATTGGTCATTGTAGGAATGTGCTGATACGCTTTGTAGAGGTGAGGAATGATTTGGATCCTTTTGGGATGATGTCTTAGGATACTGGAAGGAAAGCTTGGAGACTCCCAACAAAGTGCCATTTCTCAATTTTGAAGACTTGAAGGAAGATACAATATTTTACATAAAAAGTTTGGTAGAGTTCATAGGTTTTCCTTTTTCTATCGAAGAAGAAAGAGAAGGTGTCATTGAAGAGATAGCAAAGTTTTGTAGCTTTAAAATTTTAAAGGATTTGGATGTGAACAAGAAAGGGAAACTGTCCTGGTCTAAACCTTCAAATCCATCATATTTTAGGGAAGGCAAGGTGGGTGACTATGTTAATCGTCTCAACCTTGCTCAGGTGAATCTGACATTCAAAATGCCTCGTCACCTATTTAATTATACTGCTAATAGTGCTTAATTTTTGTTTGACGCTGAATGATTCAAGATTTAGTTGCAAAAAAGAACAACTAATTCTTTTAGGTCTTGTCTCAAAAGGTAAGAAAGATGTTTAAACAACGACTACAGTAAGACTGATCTTATTGTAAGGTTAAATAATAAAATTTAAAAATAATAATAATAACCTATTAAACAAACTAATAGGTAAACAATGTGTAATTTATAATATTATGAAAAATTATATTTGGTCTGACTTTTAGTAGATAAACTGAAAAAAAGTTAAGCCAAATCGACACTAATTGTATTGTATTCGATTCTTGTATAGTTGGTGTTTAGTGTACTACGATTTAATTATTTCTATATATACTTGAGTAGCTGGCTTCATTAATTTATGAGAAAAATCAAGAACAATTAAATTCCTCCCATATTAATCTTTTAACAGATATTATGGTTGAAACTAAGAGGGCAACCAAACATGAGAAAAATGAAATGCATGCCAATATTGTGGTAATACAAATTGAGCAGACGGTATTTATTCCATTGCCAATCAAACAAACTTCAGCAAGCAAATGAAATTACAAAGATTTTGTGAAGGAAAGGCTAAGCACAAGATTCTCATTCATTTGTTTTGAATATGAGGCATATTGGGATCTAATGAGGATGAACTGATCAGTCCTGTGGATGCTTGGAAGCTCAAGCCAGATCCTCCTAATTTCTCTTCGATCACCTTTTCCAAACGTTCTACCATAGAAGGAGTAAGGTGATTGACCCAATCACCTACCTTACCATTCCTGAAATAGCACTTATTCTCAAAGTTTGGCATGAATTTTCCAGTTTTGTTCACCTCCAAATCTTTCAAGCTGCTCAAACTACATAGTTTGGAAATTTCTTCGATCACCCCTTCTTTCTCTTCCTCCATTGGAAAGGGAAATCCTATGAACTCTGCCAACCTCTTCAAGTGAAAATTTGTCTTCTTTCAAGTCCTCATACTTTAAAAACAAAACTTTGTGCGGATTGTCCAAGCTCTCTCTCCAATACCCTAGCACATGGTCCCAAAACGACCCGAAGCCTTCAATCCCTTTGCAGAAGTTATCAACTAAGTACTCCATTGACCTTTCCAAGCTAGTCCGAGCTCGAGCTGCAAAATGCCAAGAGGAAACTACAACATCAAAAGGATTTCGGCAAATATAAACAATTCGGGTACTATTACACTCCTTGATGGATACCGGTAAAGACACATAAGGAATGTGAGTAGAGAAAAGCCTCGGAGATTGAATACAAGTAAGATCCGGAAGCTCCTTTTCACCATAGAGAGTGAACTCGATGAAGGGTACAAGTTCATGAGGATTTGTAGTAAGCAATGGACTTGTTGCATTTGTATAATGAGAACGATTAACAATGGAGAATATCAAGGCCTTAAGCCAAGTTGTGCCTGATTTTGGCCTAGAGGCAAGGATAATATCATGATCCTGAGCTTGGAAATGTCGTTGAAAGGCGATCACGTTACCAAGAATCCTGGATGGATACCAACAGCCTTGGTAGAGAAATAGGCCGCCAGCTAACCATCCTTTCTCTTTCGGAAGAGAAAGAAGTAATTCCTCAATTTCTTGATCAGATTCCTCAGTCATTTGGGGTGAAGGTAATTGGGTAGTTTTGAAGCTTCCCATCAAGGTTATTGCCACAACTTATCTATATTCCACAATCCGACTGGCTTCATATATACCGAATTTAACCAAATGTAAAGTGCTCACTGCAAAATGAAAAAGCATGGAATCAAATCTAAAGTGCTTAATAAAAAAGAGAAATAAAAAAAAGTGCGCCAAAAAAAGAAGAGAAAAGAATACGCATATAACCAAAGGTAAAGTGCTTTCTGGGATGAAATAAAAAAGAGAGGTAAAGTGTTTGAGAAGTGGAATACAGCCAACACACATTGGGCTCGTCAGGCTCCTTTTTTACTTTTTATTTTATATATTATCTTTTGTACGAAGATTCTTCCTTCCTAGAAAGTTTCGTTCGAGCATGGAACTATAAAGCTCTTTTCTTCACCTACGAAAAGACTATGCAAACGAGACACGATAGTAAAGCTTGAGTTTTGGATTCATCCCAGGTATGGGGTTTATCATCTTTCTCTTGAAAGTTATAAAAGTCATGCTTTATTCGAAGAAAAAATAACCCTAGGCTGTTATGTTATGGAAGAAAATCTCATACTATAAGAGAGGTTTACATTTACTTTTGGTTAAATTATGTAATTAATTTTTATAATTTGGTAAAATAGTAGATTTTGTTCTTATATGATAATTTGTAAAAATTGAGTTTTTATATTTTTTAAAATTGATAATATTAGTCTAATTGTTAACAATATTAAAATTTTTCTATTATTTACTAATATAGTATTTTCTTACTGATGTGGCATTAAATATGATTATCTATTAATGATGATGTGACATTTTTTTTATTATCTCACAACATTCTTTTCACTATTTTAAATTATAAAATACAAAAATTCAATTTTCCTCTATCTCACAACACTTTTCTTAAATCCTAAAAACCTATTCTTATTTTTTATTTATTTTTTTCAATCCTATTTAAAACCACTAGCTCATATTAGATAATTTCATATCCCCACTTATAAAATCCATAACAACACTTGATCATGTTATATGGACACTACTATTACATCATTCATGAAATGCCACATTATCATTGTCATGTCATCAGATTCAATGTTACATCAATAAGAAAATATAATGTCAACATAACCAAACGTCATATGAATATAGATAACAGTAAATTTTTAACGTATTGGACTAACATTATTACTTTGAAAAAGTACAAAAACTCAATTTTAATAAATTATTGTATAAAAACTAAATTCACTATTTTGATAAAATACAAAGACTAATTGCATAATTCGACGTTTTTGTATTAGGTGTTTTCCTTTTCCTAGTTCATTGTTTTGAGTTGTAAATAATGGTGGATAAGTTATTTCTATTAATAAAAGTGACTCTTTGAGAAAAAAAATTAGGTGAAGTTGACGAAATTCTTAATTAAAAATATTATATGAAATTACTTAATGCTGAAACTCAAAATCAATTGGATCAACTCCATTGAGTTACAAACTCTTCCTAAATCGTACTGCTGTTCAACAATGAAGACGAAATAAAGCACATGTAATTCCTATATATAATTGAAAATTTTATCGACTAAACTGTCTAGCATCTAGAAAGCTGTTGTGTCTGCCAAAAGTTGGGGATGAAACTACAGAATGCCAAATCATACTGCTCAGAAACTTGTTTGCCTTCCTAATTAATAAAGAAAATACAAAGAAATGGTTTTTTTTTGTTTAAAATGATGTACACTCTTGATTTTATACACAGCCAAACTCTAAAGAATAATGGAAAGAATAAATTATATCCTAAACTTAAGTGATTGATACAGTTAGTGCCCTAAGTCCTTAGCATTACTTATGCTTTGACTGATCATAAAGAGCAACCTATTGTAATAGGAGTTAATTGTGATGTCAAATTTTCACGAAAATGCACACTATCGCAAACAAGTAATATAGTGATGAAGTAAAGTATCGTTCTCACGATAATTTATTCCTAAATCTTTACTAAGTATTAAAATTATGACAAATTAATCTCATTTAAGTAACTAAAATTTTCAAAAAATTAATTAGAACAAAATTAAAACAAGTACTAAATTAACTAATAAAATTAAAATTACTTAGAAAAGGCAATAGACTAAAACCTATGATTATGAGTTTATTCAACACTTCATTTGATGTTAGCTTCTCTTATTATTTATATTCATAAGTGATTTTACTAATCTAGAATCCAAAGTTATGTACAAGTCTCCATTGAGAGGCTTGCACAAATATCTAACTTCATTGGGTCACTATATCTCTATAATAATAAATTAAATAAGGTTCATTCAGCTAGTATTTTAATTTGGCTGTATATGTCAATTGTCATATGTTTACCCAAATAGCATTTTAAATCACCCAAGTGACGTGAGCATACACTATTCAAACCTTAATCTAATCTAAAATCTCTCTATTAACTTTCAATTAGATTCATAAATTAGTTAACTATTGGCCAGATAATCAAAAGCATTAAAAACATATTTGAATAAGCAAAACTGTACCCATTCAAAGTAATTAAAGAGAAACTAATATTCAAATTACATGTTAAAATCCACCACAATCCTAGAAAAATAGTTTAGCTCATAATATCTAACAAAAGCAATATGTAAAGAAATTTAGCCTTGCATCCAAGTCAAAAAAAAAAAACACAAAAATAGAGAAAGAAACTAATTGTTGAAGCTTTACGATCACAATTTTCTCTCAAATTCTCTAGTTCTCTTGCATTGTTCTTTGGCTTCTTTTCTCCATAATAATTGTTCACTACCTCCACCTTAAAACTTCTTAAAAAGATCTCTTAAATAGGCTCCAAGGAACCTAATTTTCAAAATCTTAGGAAATTTTTATTTTTGAAAAATCATCCGGCATTGCGGCCATTATTTCTTGGCATCGCAACGCTACCCTTTTTGCTACAATAGCACCACGGCCATAATTTCTTCGCTCTGTGGTGCTCTAGCCTCAGAAATATGTATGGTGCACTTCCTTTCACTAGCGCTGCAGCTTTGTTCCCCTCGGTGTTGTGGCCTTAGCTTCCTCAACGTTGCAGCTTGAGTAACTCAAAGCCACGGCCCTCCTCCACATGCTGCCTAGTGTAGAACTGCAGCTGTTGAGTAGCTTCCAACATGATTTTCACCTCGATACAATCCGAATTGATGTACAAACAAAATAGATTTAGCCCTATCTCTTGAATTTCCAATGGCTCAAGAGTCACATCAATTTGACTTTTGGAGTGAAAGATATGCTCTAAATAATGCATCATGTTCAATCCATGCCCACTATTGCATTACTCCAACTTAGACAAATAATTTTGACCACAATTCTATCAGAAAAAGATGACGTGGTAAATATAATAGTTGTAGCCCTTTCATTTAACGTTCTAGCGGTCTAAGAATCATTTTATTTGGAGTTTTGTATATAGAGGTATGCTCAAAAAACCGAAATATATACAAATAAAGTCATTACCATACTTGCACGGATTTTCATCAAATTAAACTAAAATAATTTGAAATAAAATAACATAAAATTAGTTTAATAACTACTCTTAAAATAATTTAAAATAAAATAACATAAAATTAAACTAAAATAAATTAAATTAACTACTCAACCTATAATCAAACTTAAACTAAAAAATCACCTAAAATGCTAAAATTTGAATATAAAATCTCAAAGATCTAACTACTTAAGCCTCCCAAAATGTATCAAAATAACTCCATACAATAGAGTTATCAATAGTTTATATTTATTACCAACATGTTAATAACTTAATGAGTCATATACATTATAGAATGCTAATTGAGAATGTGAAAAAAAGGCTAATTAAGTTGGACTTAATTGGATTATAGTTTCTTGAGACTCCATGATGGTTCTACAACCATAGATGAAACAAAGTTCAAACACTTAGTTGGTTCGCTTCAATACTAAGCTCTTACTAGGCTAGACATTTCCTTTGTAGTAAATAAACTCAATTTATGCATAAGCCTACTACTTTGCACTATTATGCTCTCAAAAAGGTTCTAAGATATCTATATGATACTTTGTTTCATGGCCTCTTCATTAAAAACAAGTTTAATTGTGCTTGCATGTTTTCTTTGATTCAGATTGGGTAGGTAATCCTAATGATAGAACATTTACATTAGCTTAACACATCTACCTTGGGAATACACCAATCTCTTGGTGCTCTAAGAAGTAGAAAACAAGGCTAGGTCCATCGTAAAAGCATAATATAGGGCCATTGCTGCCACTGTATCTAAAATTACATGGATTTAGTCCTTTGTTAAGGAACTTGGGGTTCAATTACCAATAGTTCCATACTTGTTTGTGAAAACTTAAGTGCCATCTATACTTACAAGAACCCTATCTTCCATAAAAAAATGAAGCACTTGGCCTTCGATTACTTCTTTGTCAAAGAGAAAGTCAACAATTTAGAACTACTCATCCACCGTGTTCTCATTGATCAATGGCTTGATGCACTTACTAAATCACTGTCAAACACTAGATTTCACCTTCCTTTATCCAAGATCGATGTCACCAATGGTCCTACCATCTTGCAAACCATATAAAAAGGCTATCCCAACCATCTTCACTTCAACTTCAACTTCCATTACCATTTATTCTTTGTGCACCTCCAACTCAATTTTTGTTATTAAAGAAATTTTAGCTACTACACTTTTATTTGATGCCCTTGTTGATATTCTTGCTACAACCAAATCTATCAAGCAATACCATAACAAGTCTAGACACTTAACACACAACACTCAAGCCAAAAGCTACAATGATCAAACAACTACCACTTAGACAAGAAGTTTACAAGCTATCACTACAAACAATTCAAACTCTTCAAATATCATGTTGATCCGAAAGGGAAACACTTGGACCAGTTCAACAAATAGTATCTCAAGGAACAAGAAGTCTTATATGAAATTAGAATGTAGTTCACAAACTTATTTTTAAAGCTGAACTCCACGTTAACCCCTTATGATATGATCTTTTCTCACATAGCACCTTGAGGTTTATTTTTACTCATATAAAACCTTGTGTTTTATTTATTTTCTCAACAGTAGTAATGATGTTAAATTTTCAATTAGTTTTTTATAAAAAGACAATAAGAACCTTTGTGTTTTAATCTTTTTGTTTTTTTATTGTTTAATTAAAAAAATTGAGTATTTGTTTGGGTTTCTTTTTTTTCTAACTTTCCTCTTGCTTTTTCTT